ATATATATATATATATATATATATATATATATATATATAAGTGTGCTATGTATATATATATATATCGCATTAATAATGTAATATTTAATAAAATTGGTTGCGACAGTATCATTCCTAGCGAAAAGCAGTGCATGCATGTCACTCCACTCGCAAATTATGCCTTGGATTCACATTATTTGCCTCAAATCAGCACAGATTTTTCACTGTTTTGCACTTAAGGCTGCTTATTTGAATAAAAGCAGTGTTCAAACTTAATGATAATTTCATGGTTTTTATTTAACTTTCCACAGTATTTAAGTAAAGCTCCTTATTGAACATTAAAAGCTGAAGAAAATACAGAAAAATCTCATGTAAAATGACAGCAAAAAACTGTATTTTTGAATTACGGATAATTACTGTTATTTAATGTGCCTGTTATTTTACGGTATTTTTCCAGCACCTCAGCTACCGGAATTTTACAATTTTTTTTTTTTTACAGTGTACCCAAATTCACTGATAATGTCTTAACTTATTTATTTTATATCCTAAAAAGCATTTCAGTCTGATGTGAACAACTGCACACATACAGCAGGGTCACCAAATCTAGCAAGGCCGCAAAAGACACTAACGAAATCTGTTACCATCTTTTTCACTCTGGTGATACATGAACTTATTTATTTTATATCCTAGAAAGTATATTTCTCTGATGAGAACACACTCTTAAAAAAAATTAAAGGCGCTTAAAAGGTTCTTCACAGCGATGACATTTTTTTAGTTTCCACCATGAACCATTCAGGCAAATGTTCTTTAAAGAACCATGTCTTTCTTACCGACACTCTTAAAAAAAATTAAAGGCGCTTAAAAGGTTCTTCACAGCGATGACATTTTTAGTTTCCACCATGAACCATGTCTTTCTTACCGTTTTATAATCTAAAGAACCTTCTTTCGCCACAAAGAACCTTTTGTGAAACAGAAAGGTTCTTCAGATGTTAAAGGTTCTTTATGGAACCATTTAGACAAAAAGGTTCTTCTATGGCATCGTGAAGCACCTTTATTTACAGTGCAACTGTCGATACACAATAGGATCGCCAAATCACAAGGCAGCATTATGTTACCGTAATTTGTTACCGTAATTCGTTACGGTAATTCGTTTCCGTCACACACAAATTCTACAGCGACCTCTAGGTCACTGATTTCGACACAACACATGTATTTATATAGCCCGTTCTTTAACAGTCCGGCCTATGGAAGCTCATTTCCGCCACTGAATAACATTTTTTAAAAAAGGTAATTGCGACTTTTTTCACAGAATTGCATGATATAAACTCACAATTGCGAGCTATAAAGTCAGAATTGAGAGTTATAAAGTCAGAATTGCGTGATATAAACTCCAATTTTAAAGTTAAAGTCCAATTTTGAGGGGGGGGGAAGACTTATGTTCTCAGAATTGCAAATTTAGGCTATATCTCACAATTCTGACTTTATAACTCGCAATTGTGAGTTTATATCTCACAATTCTGAGAAAAAAGTCAGAATTGCGAGATATAAACTCGCAATTGCGAGAAAAAAAGTCAGAATTGTGAGTTTATATCTCGCAGTTCAGACTTTATTTCTCAGAATTCCGACATTATGTCTCGCAATTGCGAGTTTATATCACGCATTTCTGACTTTATTTCTCAGAATTGCGAGTTTATATCTCTCAATTATGACTTCTTAACTCGCAATTGCGAGTTATCACGCAATTCTGAGAAAAAAAAGTCAGAATTGTGAGATAAAAAGTCGCAATTACCTCTTTTATTTTTTATTCAGTGGCAGAAACGGGCTTCCATACCGGCCAGTAGGTGATTTCGACTGATTTGGACAAACTTTCATTGATTTAAAGTGCTGATGAGATAATAAACTGTTCAACGAAAGCACATATTAGCTGGTTTGCCATTCGCCAAAAACGCTTAAGAAGAAGAAGAATTTGTTCAGCGAAATCGAGAACCTGAGTCTAACTGCTATACTTAATAACTGCACAGTTTATAGTGTCTATATAGGCTACGTACAGAGTTCTTAAGAGGGCTAAATGTAAACAACCAAGCGACCTATGCTTTTTTTTCTTCTGCGCACCATTAATGAGAATCCTGCTTTGTATTCGATATGCGCTGTGTTTTTATTAGTCTGCTTTCAAAAGAACAATTGCAGATATAGGCCTATAAGAAATGACACAAATAGGCTATAGCCTAGCCTACTATGCGGACTATTACAGGAGATCACATTCACAAGTCCATGTTTCATGTCTGATTGAAAAAAGAGGATGTTTGGTGAGGACACGTTTAAAATCCTGCTGTTGTAATGTCAGACGAGCATGATTAGCCTACGTAAAAACCACATTGACGTCAGTGAATTGATGAATGTTGAAATGTTGTTGTTTTTTTACTACTAGAGAAGAAATATCTATATAAAATAACCTACCAAATCATTTAGTTAAATATGTTTTCTTAGCGTACATTGTAATGTATAGTGATTTATTGTGGTATGCTAACTATTCATCCATGTTTTTATACAGCCTATTCTTTTAAAATGTTTATTAAAAGCAAATGTTCACCATGATAGAATTTCCTCTAGACAATTGTTGATAAAACATTACATTAACGATGCTCATACCTTCAGTTAACCTATTGTAATGTCATTATAGCCTATTAAATGTATTTTCAAAAACATATGTGTTTGACAAAGCAGTAGCCTGATATAAAAGTGCCCTTCCTTAGAATAATGTAATGAACCAACACAGGTTTAGTATACAAAATTAAATTATTTTCTCTAAAAGGGCTTACCTAGGGCTCCTAAAAGCAGCACTATGGTACTCAGCAGAAAAGCCATGCGTCTAATCAAATGTGTTAAGTGATTATTAGGATAAAAAATGCTAAAACTTTTTCACATGTATCTCCGACTTGAAATAAATTGTATCCCAACCCAGGCTTCCTTTTATTTGCCACTGTAGATTTCAACATTTCCTGCACAGTCTTCTATCCTTCTTTCCTGTCATCCTTCCCCTTTTGAACAATCTGTTTGGCCTCAGATTGTTCTGAATATTTACCTCAATAATAAGCTTTACAAAAAAAACAATGTCATATATTAATCAGAAAATAATTGTTTTAACGTTAAATTATGTGATGTTTGGTATAAAATAAATATGTTTCCTTTCTAAAACCCAGCAATATTTCACGAATAAACGAAATGTAGATGAACAAAATGTACATTTAGATTTGTATTCGTTTTATAAGTTAGAACTCAAGCCTTCATTTGCAGTTGAGTAATAGCCTAGTTATTTGTTCAACAATGTCAACGCCTGTTCCTGAAATCCGTGACTAGATGGCGCTAGTTGACAAGGTTTGTGCCTAAACTATGTCATTCATAAATTACTTGGCCTGAATAGTTTTACACAAATTAATAGGCCTAATTTATTTTTCTTACACTTCTTGGCGTGAAAGAGAAAAACTAGAGTTGAAATTGGACTCATATTAATAGGGTGATGTGTAAACAGTTCAGTTTTCCAGTTCATACACTCTAAAAAATGCTGGGTTAAATATAACCCAGCACTGGGTTAAAAAGGGACAAACCCAGCTATTTGGTTGTTTTTACCCAGCGGTTGGGTTGTTTTGACCCAGCGGTTGGGTAGTTTTGACCCAGCGGTTGGGTTGCTTTGACCCAGCGGTTGGGTTGCTTTGACCCAGCGGTTGGGTAGGTTTGACCCAACGGTTGGGTTGTTTTGACCCAGCTGTTGGGTTGCTTTGACCCAGCTGTTGGGTTGTTTTGACCCAGCTGTTGGGTTGTTTTGTCCCAGGTGTTGGGTTGTTTTGGCCCAGCGGTTGGGTTGTTTTGACCCAGCGGTTGGGTTGTTTTGACCCAGCGGTTGGGTTGTTTTGACCCAGCGGTTGGGTTGCTTTGACCCAGCGGTTGGGTTGTTTTGACCCAGCGTTGGGTTATATTTAACCCAGCATTTTTTTAGAGTGTACTGACTCATATGGCCAATTTAAACTGGTACTTTCTTCGGAACGTGGTCGCTCGTTTCGTATTTGTGCAAACTGGTAGCCTACAGACAGACAAAAGGACACCTTTCCTCAGCTCAGTACTAAAGTTTTTCTATGTCTGAATTGTTTTTATCACTTCTTTTGTAATTTGTTTGTCTATGTTCCTCCTCCCGGGAGCAGTCATGAGACGTTTAGTTAGATTTCTACGCAGCCTATTATGCAAGTTTTCTCAGTAGTCTTGTTTACTATACTCTTTAACGTCTCAAATGTCACTTCAGTCTACAGTGATTGACTTCTATGAATGAAAGTGTTTTTCCTTTCTCCAATAACACCTAGACCTGTTTTTATATAGCTTATCATTTTTCTTTAAAGCGCTTTGATTTACTCCTGTAATCTTTGTGATTAATGATTAAATATGTATTCTTTATTATAAATAAATAAAAGCTGACCGTTTTATTTTGGACATCTTCTCGCCTTAATCTATCAGTGATGCCTAAACTGCTATAGCTCCTATAATATATATATATATAGCAAAATGTGGCCCTAAAAAGTATTTGGATAAAGTCTTTATTTCATTTGTACTTATTTTAAATGATACATGATATAATTTAACAAAAATCTAACCAAGTAACATTTATTTTGAAGAAAGTTAGCAAAACTATACATTTTTAAGTTAGACATTTCCCAATAAGTTTTTTTTTTAGAATCAAAATGATAAAAAAAAAAAATACTGTTGTGATAACATTCAAATAAGTGTCCAAAAGTGTTTAAATGCTATATTGGGCGTCATTGTATGTAATAAACATGTTTATATATTTGTAAAAAAAAAAAAAAAAAAACTTTATATAGGCTATGCATCAGCTTCACTGATCCTTTTAAATTATATTTATTTATATTATTTATAACTGCTCCAAAGCAAGGACACTACTCTCGTTTACCTTTGACATTCATTTAATTTCTTTTTCATTCACATGCATCTAACGTCACCTCATCATGGGATATCAAATTCTTAAGCTCTGCATTCATAACACACCTACTTTAATAATCGGACCTATTACCTACTTACCATATTATTGCATATTGCACATTTCTAATATGCATCACTGCATTTTATAATTTTTTAAATAGTGAATTTGCCATGCTTTTTGACAGCAATTTATTTATTTAGCTATTTTTGACCTTTACGTGTTTTATGCATTGCCACTGCTCCATGACACATTCCTGTACTCGGGTCCAACTAGGTGATGGGTAACGCTTGACCTCATGATCTCCAGCTGTATGATCTTTCTATGGGGCATGTTGTTGTGAAGCTATCGCATGATTTTCCATGTTGTAGTACAAATATCACGTAGATGCAAGCTTGTTGATCGCGGTCCTGAGAGTTGACGTGTACATGTTTCCTCTCTCCAGTTGGTCACCAGCGATATCGACGTAGTGTCGTAGGCGTATCACTGTGCAAGAACACAAACTTTAAAGAGTTGACAACAACAGGGGTCTCAAGACAAAGACAACCCCAGACTGAAGAAAGAACTGCACGCGAAGATATACTGAAAACTTCTACACTGAAAAGCTACGCTTTGTTTTAATCTCTGACAACATACAACGTTTTTTGTTTTGAGCTCGGATATTTAGATCTTCCAAGATGAAGTTTGTAAGGTATATAATGAGGAATGCTGCTATGCTAAATGCACCAAAGCATATTGATTACTACGCGAAATTTTCTCCATCGCCGCTGTCAATGAAGCAGTTTCTGGATTTCGGTAAGTTTAAAAATTGTAATGCAAAATATTTTTGCATGCAATATTGTCATCCCAAGGATGATGGTGCACACCGAGCATGTGCATTGCACAAACACATTCGATAATCTTTTTATGAAACGATCTGTATTGGCTTATTCATGTAGAAATTACAGAACAAGTAATGCGAATGTTCGCTCAGACAGAATGTAGCTAACGCTCGCGTTTTCTGGATGGTGTAACCATAGTAACAGTATCTTCGGACTGCCATTATTTGCAACTTTAGCTTGTTATATTTACACAGCATTTATACACAAAAAGTGTAGTGTTTTATTTACAAAAAAGTCTTTAAGGTTAGTTCATGGTGCTACAAGGACGCCAAAATACTAGTGCACGAAACGAACCTCAGCAGAAACTTGTAAGCCATTCAGTAAAATCCTGTTTGCTCGAGTCCTATGTTTGTTTTTCCTTAATATTTCAGTTTTGGTTCAACTGTATTGCAGCAAAGTGTGCATTCAGCTGAGATTTCAGACTGTCGCGTTGTCTTTTCAGGATCCACAAATGCGTGCGAGAAAACATCCTTCGCTTTCCTCAGACAAGAGCTCCCCGTCAGACTAAGCAGCAGTCTGAAGGAGATCAACCTTTTACCAGACCAACTGATCATGACTCAGTCCGTTCAGCTAGTTCACAGCTGGTAAGTTCATGCCCTGGGTCATCAGGCTAAAAAAGGTGCCTGTTAACTAACTTTTGAAAAGTCCCATCTGTCTTGTAGTTTGAGTAAACAGACGCAAACGAACAAGATAAATGAGCCCGGTCTCATGAAAATGCGTATAAATAGTACGCCAAATAAAAACGAAAACTCGTGGTATTGATACGCAAAAACGGACTTTGGCGTGCATATGATACGCCTGTGTTTGGCGTGCATATAATACGCAGTTTTCGCGTGCATATGATACGCCTGTGTTTGGCGTGCATATAATACGCAGTTTTCGCGTGCATATGATACGCCTGTGTTTGGCGTGCATATAATACGCAGTTTTCGCGTGCATATGATACGAAATTTGTTGGCGTGCATATGATACGAAATTTGTTGGTTTGCATATGATACCCATGTGTTTGGCGTGCATATGATACGAAATTTGTTGGTTTGCATATGATACGCATGTGTTTGGCGTGCATATAATACGCAGTTTTCGCGTGCATATGATACGAAATTTGTTGGCGTGCATATGATACGAAATTTGTTGGTTTGCATATGATACGCATGTGTTTGGCGTGCATATAATACGCAATTTTCGCGTGCATATGATACGCATCTACCCCACTAAACCTACCCATCGCGTAGCACATTCACGCCAAAGTCCATTTTTGCGTATCAATGCCACGAGTTTTCGTTTTTATTCGGCGTACTATTTATATGCACTTCCATGAGATCGGGTGCATTATCTAATACATTGCTGAACAAACTCATCATCATTAAAATGGTTTATTTTACACGCGTGCGTTATGTAATCTGTCGCACGCCTCCTAACTGAACGATGAACTTTGCCCCAGTTCCTCAGCCTGATGTTTTCCAAGTAGAAGCCACTACTACTGTATATTACACACTCAGCCGTTTAAAGTTCAGAATCAAGCTTCATCCGGTTTCCATTAGGCTACAACTTGCATTTTAGGATCCAAGTTGTAGCCTAATCTTATAGGAATCATCACATTACTTCTTACCAATAGCACTTCTTATCCTTATTCATTTTCTACGGTGGTCTATAGTGTGGGGTTCTGGACCATGTGAAATCAAGTTGTGGTGTAAAACATTTTCTTTAAAAACGTGCATGCAAATGCTTGCTTACGAGCCTATGGAATGTAGTTTGAAATACCGTTGCAGACCCTCACTTGTTTACTAGACTGCGGGAAGGGATACTGCGGTTCACTTCAGAAAGTGAAATATGAGACGGTGCGGCGTAGCGGTGGCGCGCAGACTTGTTTTCGAGAACTGACTTGGAACAGTACGTTCTAGTGTACTCGAGCAGAACAGCAAGGAGAGAAACTCAGGGAAATAAGCAGTTAACATTTAAAAAAGAAAAAAAAGAGGAAATCTATAGTTTATATTAATAGCTAGTATATATAAAATAATTACCTGAAAAAATTATATAGTATAAAATATTTATATATAGGCTATATATCAATAAATATTTTAATTAGCTTTTTAATTTTAGCTTTACTAATTGTGTTATGTGCTTTTGTAACACTTTATAAGTTTAACATTTTAATCTAATGT